TTAACCGACCGTCCTAGTCGGCAAATTTCAAATGTCCGCTAGTGATGTGGCGCTACAATATTTGGCTATGTCTTGGCTACTTTAATATTATTTTTACGTGTTTTAGCTGGCAACACTCATTCGACCATGAAAGGGAGCCAGTTTTTAAACGAGGCTTAATTTTCTGATTTTTAACGATACAATAGCGACAATTATTATTTTAAAAAATTTTTGTTAGGCTTAACATCAATGAAAATTCAATGCATAGTAGGTTAATAGCAATATACTAATTACATGGGATATAATAATATACTACACTAATAATGGATTTTTTCATACTTTTTGGTTATCCGACTTTTCAATTATCCGACCAACCCCAATCCCCAATTGGGTCGGATAATCGAGGCTCTACTGTATTTCAAGAAATTGACTTTTATAGAAATGTATTTTTATTTCTGATATGAGATCTATGATTCCAGAAAGACTTCTCTTTATTTCTTTCTTCAATTATGATTAAATCTTTTATCACAAAATGTGTAATGTTTTTAATCACTAAAAAGGAATGTCAGTTTTTGATCAAGAAAATATTCATTTTCTGTAAATTATTTTTCAGATGATATAATTTGGGTGATTATATTTGAAATATGCACTATTATTCTTGTTTAAAGTAAATATTATTATTGTTGTAGTGTTGTTACAAACTGAATCAAGGTATATATTTGAGATGGAGCATTAGCGAAGCCTTTTCTAAGAGTAAGAGGATGTTAGAATTGTGTTTTCAAAATCTGTTTGATCGATTTTGATTAAATTTTGCTGTTTTCCATTAATTGCAAGGAGAAATCCAAAAATACAATAAAAAATGGGGGTCCATGACTATTTTTGAGATATAAGGTTGTTTTATGAGCATGCGTGAAAAAGTGATGTGATATATGAATCATGTGACTTTGTCAAATGTTGTTTCACAGCCTAGCATGTCTTCTATGACTAGCATGTCTTCTATGGGGTTAGTTATAGAGTCAAGTTTGTTCTCAAAATTTATTGGCCTAATTTTGATAAAACTTTTCCATTTTCCATTATTTGAGATGAGGAATTCAAAAATGTAAGAGGGTCTATTTAAATGTAAAAAATAGAGATTGAGTGGTTTCTGATAAAGAGAGGAGTTAAATCGACAGTATAGAGAGTCTATATTGATAAAGAGATAATAAAGAGAGTCTATGCTCTCTGATGTGACTGAACATACCTAATGGAGTTTAGGCCTAGGGGTCAAAAGCAAGGATCATTTCTCTGTATGCAGCCAGTGCAAAGATTGTAACTCCTACAGCCAGTTTTATTCCCAGCTCCACCTCAATTTTATTGTGATATGACAAAGTCATGCAATGTCCTAGTTTATTATACATATGTATTTTATTTTACTAAGTATAAAGATAAGAAATATATCTAAAAACAAGCAAATATTTATTGTGACATCATCACAATGCCAGGCTGCAATTTTAATCATATTTTTAATTTATTTAATTTAAAATATATGCTCTCTACCTCAAATTAGTAGTGTCTTGCCCCTGTACATCATACTTTTCTTGTTAGAATAGAATCATGCCTGTCATCTATCTAACCCCTTTCAGGGGAAAAGTTTTGAATTGAAATAACGTGACTTTTGTTATGCATTGGAAGTTCATATATAGTTAATAGGGCTTTCCATATATGATCTCGGCTTTCATCTATATAACCCTGTATTCAAGATTAAGGAAAGATGGATGGAGAGATGGATAACAGTGGGAATTTATAGATATACAATTTTTTCAAATTGCAGCCCAATAAATGTAAATATGATGAAAGTATGCTGTATATGCTGTAACCATATGTATAGTTCATGTATATTCCCTCTGGTAACAGATTTATCTTATTACTAATAAATTATTTGATTTTATTAATTTATTTTTGTATAATTTCTATAAATAAATAAATACACGAAATAGGTTTCAAACATTTTTTGTTAGATATAAAGAAGGAACTTACAATTAAACTAGATATAAACAGTAAACTGCAAATTTCATAAAATATTTAATGCATACTTTTGTTATATAAAATTATTAAATAAATAAATTTTAAATTTTAGAATGTAGCAAGACAACTTTCAGATGTTATTAATGTGAAAGTAATAGTTGGAGGAAAATTTCATCAGGTAAGTTTTTAATATTTTGATAATATGTAAAATTTTATACTGAAATTTTCAAAAGAATAGTTTTAAGTTATTAAAAAATTATTTTTGATTTTGAATTAAAATTTAACTAAATGTATTAAGTATTGAAGGATTTTAAATTAAATTTGCTTTGAATCAAATATAATAAACTTTGATTCAATTGGTTATAATTGGCCAGAATTAAATTAACAGCAACAACTTTTGTAATAATGTCTTAATGTATTCATCACTTGTACATATATACATATATGTAACTTGACAGTAAATAATTACAATAATAGTAATACAATATTTAATTTATTATTTATACAATAAATTATAAATTAAGTATTGAATTAATATTTATTTTAGCCATAATTTATTTTATAAATCACAACTGCTAATATACAATTTTTGACCTTCTAGAAATCTTTCTTACACTCTAAACCTAGTATTATAAGTAAAGTGGAACCTCACTTAATGAGCACCTCACATAATAAGTAAAACAAAATTGTAAAAAATGACTCTCTTAACGAGCAAAGTTTTGCATAATGAGTGACGGGGAGAGGGGAAATCCCAGACTGTGCACATGCTTTATCAGTCTGTGTTTAGCACTCGTTCTGCTAGAATCTTAGTGTCGCTTGTGATCAAACATTTTTCCAAACTTGTGTTCACACATATGCATAAACATCAGCAATCATCACCCATTATATAATAAACATGTCAAACGATATGCCAAATTCTTGGGCTATGTAAAGGTTATAATTAAATATTAGAAATGAAATAATTTGACTAGAGATAGACAGTTATGCTGCCATCTCGTATTAAATTTAATGATCAATTCCAACTTAAATTTTAGAAATATCTAAATTAAAAAATTAATTATTTATAATTATTAAATTTAATACAAGATGGCAGCATAACTGTCTATCTCTAGTGAAATTATTTCATTTCTAATATTTAATTTTAGCCTTTACATAGCCCAAAAATTTGGCATATCATTTGGCATGTTTATCAGACATATTATCTGTGATTTTTTTTTTTTTTGTTTTCTGCAAATTGAATTCTCATTCCAGGTTGGTTCATTCCACGCTGGAAGAAAAGATGAAGATGATTCATGCTCCTTAACAGTGTATACTGTATAATTGTCTTTGAATAAATGTTATACGTAAAATATTTGAATATTTTTTTGGCACGGAATACATTATCGTATTTTACGTTCATTTATATGGGAAAAACTGTTTCATTTAACAAGTGTTTTGCATTATGAGTAAGATTCTGGAAGAAATTATGCTCGTTAAGCAAGGTTCCACTGTACTACATTTAAGCTTTGTATTAGAATATCCAACATTTTTATGATCTTTCTGAAAATATTTAATTTCTCTTGTTTTATCTTATTAAATGTTGAAATTATACAGATTTACTTTATTGAAATAATTACTGCTGTATTATATCAATATATAAAACAGAATGAATTGAATAGAAAAATCATTAACCACTCAAAAGTGAGAGACGGATATATCCATTAAATTCTTTTGGGGGTATCGGCAAAAACTACCGCGAAAAAAAATTCACAAAAAAATGAATTATGTAACAATAAAAAAAAGATTTTTCTTTACTAGACATAACTGTTTAAAAAATCTTTTTCCGAAACGGAAATGAGAAAAAAAAACGCATGGAAAAATACTTTAAAAATTTTCCACGTTTATTCTCCAGTACTTTGGGGTAGCACCATACCTGACTATCCCTTTGCTGAAAGGTTAATAGGATCTTCATAAAATTTCTATAAAGTAATAAAATAAAATTTTCTGTTAAAATTGAATACATTCATCCTGAGGTTCTTTAATTAAAATTTTTTAAACTCTTAGGTATGTTATAGTAAAATAATTAGTATAAGTCAATAAATTCTGAAGAGTTTTGTTACATTAAATTATTTTGCTTTAATGCATGAAAAAAGAATAGTATAGTATAATACAAGTATAATACAGAACATTGAATTAGATATATAAATTTTAACAAAACATGAATAGATTTTTGATTTAATATTTAATGGCTATTTAGTGTTAATAAGATGCAATATTGCTTTCTGAATATAAATCATATGTGATTTAAAAAGTTAAAATGTAAAGAATATTTAATTTATTTGAAAATGAAATGAATATTTTTATACATATTTATAAATTGTAGAAATACAAACTTTTTTATGTATATGATAAAATTAATGTATTTTGAAAGAAAAAGTTTTGTAATTTATAGTAGAGGGCATGTAAATTGCATAACCTATGATACAAGTAATATACCAAAAAGCTTTCAATAGATATACAAAGTAGTATATTTAATCTATTATTGCAATTTGTAATGATGAAATATGTAGTATGGAAAAGAAACCAAGAATACATTTTAAAAAAATGCAATTTATTGCTTGTAATGCTATGTTAAACTTAATTGTTATTTTCATGACATATCTTCATCAATATTATTAATCATCATTGTCATAAGAATTTACAGTTCAGAGTTATGAAAGCAAATAAAAAAAAAAAAAAAAACAGATTTACAGTGTAATTAGTCAGTAAAACATAACAAAAAGTTATTTCTTGTTGATTGGGATCCTAATACAGTGGGTGATCGGTTAATGAATAGTTCGTATAGCAAACAAATCGGATAACGAACACTTTACTGAACAAACATAAAAAGAAATGGAAGAAAATAACGAATACCAATTGATATTCCCTTGTCTTCAGGTAACAATTCGAAACCTTTCAGAGTGCGAGAGACATCAACATTGACACTTAACCTGATATTGATTGGATAGTATCCCTCCGAATTTTGAAACTTTCCCTTGTAATTCCAGCTTTTTGTTTACCTTTCTGACAAATAATCTTTTTATAGTCTTCGTGACACTGTCGGACGGGCACTTGTTAAGTTTTGCATCAGGGTTTATTTACAAAAGGTGAAAGTTTAACTGTCCCATTGGATATTCATTAACATTTTAATACCAAATTTCGAATTTTATCCGAGCCTTGCATTTAAATAATTTTTTATGGGCTAGTTGATTTCTGTTCTCTGAACTTTTGTAAGTGCTTTTCTGAACTTTTTATTTAAAAAAGAAACTGATAATATTATGGAGTCTAAAAGGAGAAGTGTCAAGAACTATGCTCACTGTAGAAACTGAGTAAGAGATAATAGCCAAGGTAGAAAGTGGGCACAAGATGTCTGATGTTGCTATGCAGTATGCTTGAACAGGTCTACAGTAGGCACAATCTTAGCTATGAAAGATATATTAAGAAGTCTCAAGCTGCTAATGGAGTTATGAAATCACATCTGAAAAATAAAGAGCATTTTAGAGCTCATAATGGAACCTGAAACTGATCTGACGACTGAAGAACTCCAGGGATGTCAGAACAATGATCATCCAAGTGGCATCCAAACCAGAATAAGGTTAATGGGGTTGGGGATCTCTATAATTACAATACTATTAATTACTTCCAAAAAATTCTGAAGAAAAGAGAAAAGTAATCAACATTGGACAGATTCTTTAACCCCCACAAAGGGAAAAAACATGATTAATAAAAATGCAAGATTGCATATATATGTANTAATTAAGAATAAAATTTTCATTAAGTTGGTTGGTTAGATGGCTCATGTTTTTTGGCATAAGAGCCATATAGGCTAAGATTATCATGTCAAATGGTAAATCTTAGCCTATATGACTGTTATACATGTTAATGACTTACAGAGAGTCCAGTAGCCTATCAAGATTTGGCATCTGGCCCAAAAATTCCCATCAAACTTTCATTTCCAAAATGCTGCCTATGACTCCTCTCAAATACAGTATGTCTGCAACTGCACAGTATGTCTTTCAGACTTAAAGTACAGTTTCAGTACTGGCATACTGGCTGGTCTTCACCCTTCAAAAGGTATTGCCGAGTATGACCAATTTTCAAACAAGTAAGAATCACCTCAGTCAATGCCCATTTATTGCATGCAATCTGCACAAATTGGCCATCAATTGCATGACTGAATGATTTTATTAACTACACTTGAGAGCCTTTATAACACAGTAACAGCAAAATTTTAATGAATGATAACGTTTTCGACCGCAACCTCAGTCTTCATGTTCAAATCTCACGTTTATAATCACTGAGATTTGAACATGGAATTTAGAACAACACGTTTAAAAATTTTTTTTAAAAACATGGAACAATTTACACGCACATAGACAACCTTTAACTGTATATATTACCATAGTGATAGAAATAACTCCACACCATAGACAATAATTAATAAGATATAACTAATAACGTATAAAGAGGCTGCTAAATTCTAGTGTTGTTCGTTCTTTTCGTAACAGTATCTCCATGCATAGGAAACTTATTGGCATCCTTTGAGTTAATACAGTTGCCAGCCAAGTCGGCTTTATAGATTTCCGATGTCTCCAGGTTTTGCAGGTTTTCAATTTGATTTTCACATTATGTTGATATTATTTTTAATCTAAATCTTGTTTTTCATGAATTTATAGTTTATTTGTGCATAATAATAAAATAAAAATTTTATATTAAGGTTATAGTCAATATTATATTGAATTTATATATTTCATATTGCCTTTTTGTATCAATACATTATTGTGAGGGCTGAAGTTTTATTGGGAATTGCAGTCAGGCCTGAGCAGTTAGTATATATAATTTTACAATTCCCATTTTGTCACTTGAATGTTGTGAGATTTACAATCAGTACTTTTATACAGATTGAGTTGCACAAAATGAAACTAATCTGGGTTGAGTTTTCTTAATTTAAGTTATCAGTTCCTAGTTTGTTGGGAAGAGGGGTGACACATCATCACTATTTTGATGAGAAATTTTGATAAGGATGATGTTCTATGTAAGAATATTAGATTTGAGTGAAAGTTACAGAATTAGTAAAATAATAAAATTTAGCAGAATAAATCAATATTAAGTTGATTAAGAATTTTAGAACCTCAAATTATCTTTATTTTAAACTAGCTG